GGCCTCTAGGCCCTGTTGTTGGCCCGCCAGAGGAACTGCTTGGCCACTGTGTGAGACAGGATGATTTATTTATTTATTTATTTATTTAAATTTATAACCCACCCTCCCCGCGAACGGGCTCAGGGCGGCGTACAGATGGGGCCAATGCCCAATACATAAAACATTAAAACTGCATTTTAAAAACATTCTGTGCAACATAAGTGCTCTCCACAACAACTAATAAGGGAACTGATGATGTCACCAGGATGGTATCCTTAGTGGCCACAGCTCCACGCAGTACCACCATTTTTGCGCTCAAGGCGATTTGGTAATAAGGGCTAGGACAGATGGTAACAGTCGTGGCGGCTCCTACTCAAACGCCTGGCGGAAGAGCTCCGTCTTGCAGGCCCTGCGGATCTGTGCGAGGTCCCGCAGGGCCCGGATCTCCTCTGGGAGCTCATTCCACCAGGTAGGAGCCGCCACCGAAAAAGCCCTAGCCCTAGTCGCCGCTAGTCTGGCCTCTTTGGGACTTGGAACCACCAGGAGATGTTTAGTCCCGGACCGTAGTGCTCGGTGGGGTGGACTAGATGGACCACCAGTCTGATCCAGACTGATCCAGACCTCTTCTGAGGTTTTTAAGTCCCACCGACTATAAATATTACCAGCTTGCAGACAATAAAACATGCACACCCTAGCAAAGCAGTACAGAATCTGGTCTGATGAAACGTAGAGCTGAGATCATACGTCGGGGGGCATAGTTCGTAGCCAATATATTTGCTTTGCTTCTAAACGGCTTTCAAGGATAAGTGCTTCTGGAATTTGCCAGCAGACTCTGCATTTCCTCTTCCGTGCTCACAGTTTCTTCGAATCAGCATGTGCAAGAAGCAGGCTGCATCCCCAGTGCGTGATATTGTGCTCTGTTTCTGAGAGCCTGCCAGGGAAGTAATTCTACAAAGTGTCAGCTCCAGCGTGCATTCTCTCTGTTAGAAAAATGGCTGCTTTTTGCATTGCAAGTTGCCTCCTGCCTAGGCCTCTGTAATGAGCGAATAGCCATGCAGAAGAACAGGGGGGGAGGGGGGATATTGAATATACGTTAGTAGAATTAAGTGGTACTTCATAAAGAAAAACATAGAAACCTAGAGCTGGAAGGGACCTCAAGGGTCATCCAGTCCAACCTCCTGCACAATGCAGGGAATTCACAACTGTTCCCCTCCCCCAATTCCCTCAATTGTCCCAGGAAGGCAAAAAACCTGCATGATCCCTGACTAATTTAGCCTGGAGGAAAATTGCTTCCTTCCCCCAACATGGTGATCAGCATTTCCCTGGGCGTGTGAGAAAGGGCCGCGAGAACTAAGCACTGAGGCAACCCTTCCTGCCCTCCCTCTCGTGATCTGCCTCAGTTCACACAATCCGCATTGCTGTCAGATGGCCAGTTTGGTGTAGTGGTTGAGTGCGCGGACTCTAATCTGGGAGAACCAGGCCTGATTCCCCACTCCTCCACTCGCAGCTGCTGGATGACCTTGGGCAAGCCATAGTTCTGTCAGAGGTGTTCTTGAAAAAGAGTCGTTTCTGTCAGAGCTCTCTCAGCCCCACCTACTTCACGGGGTGTCTGTTGTGGGGAGGGGAAGGGAAAGGAGTTTGTGAGCTGCTTTGAGACTCCGAGTGAAGGGTGGGGTATAAATCCAGTCTCTTCTTCTTCATCTTCATCTGCCCTCTGTTTGGAAACCTCCCAAGAAGGAGAGCCCACCACCTCCCGAGGAAGCCTGTTCCACTGAGGAACCCCTCTAACTGCCTGGAAGTTCTTCCTGATGTTTAGCGGCAAACCAATGTTCCCTCTAAGCTGTGGAGTCTTGTGAGCAAAAATCCTACTTTGTGAGCTACCGGCATTAAAGTTGTGAGCGAGCGATTTGGCTGCTGCATAAATTAGTTTGCTCTGGAGCCATCCTCCCTGAGCTCGGACAAAAATCTGTGAGCTGGAGGCTAAAAAACTGTGAGCTGGCTCACACTAACTCAGCTTAGAGGGAACAGTGCCAAACTCTTTTTATTTAATTTCAGTCAATTGGTTCCGATCTGAGCTTCTGGGGGAAGAGAAAACAATTCCGCTCCATCCCTTTTGTGAAACGGATTTGAAAGACTAGGGGTAGTATGTCTGTTGGGGGCTTGAGAGAGAATTACCCGTGAAGCTACCCTTGGGGGTACACTCTGAAGTTATCCTGAAGGTACATTCTGATGCACTTCCTAGAAAAAGGGCTACCTTGAAGTGGTTGAAGATGTGAAGCTCGATGGGGGAGCATTGGATCCTTTTGAAGGGTGAGTGCTTTAGTACAGGTAGACGCAGCGCCTGCCCCCTGGGGAAGTGCGGGCCTTGTAGTAAGCGCTTCCTGCTCTCTTTGCCAGGTTTCGGCATAAGCCGCTTCTCCTGATCCCTTTGTATGCTGTAAATAATCTTTTGGCAGTGAGGCTGGAAGATACCATAGTGGTTGCCGGCAGGGGGAACACAGCAAGATGCTCAGTGCCGCCTTCTACGACGGATATTGGAGAGAGAGGCGTAAAAGGTAGAGAAAAGGGCACCTAAAATGAGCCAGGAGCTGCAGTGGCTCAAGTGGTTAAGAGGCTGAACTGCAGGCTGTGGAAGGTCAGTAGTTCAGCAGTTCAAGACCCCGGTGCCGCAAGACGGGGTGAGCTCCTGTCTCTAGTTCCAGCTCCTGCCAACCTAGCAGTTCGAAAGCAAGAAATTGCAAGTAGATAAATAGGGACCGCTTCGGTGGGAAGGGAACAGCGTTCCGTGTGCCTTGGTGTTTAGTCATGCCGGCCACATGACCACGGAAACGTCTTCAGACAGCGCTGGCTCTTCGGCTTTGAAACGGAGATGAGCACCGCAACCCTAGAGTCGGATTCGACTGGCTTTCGATCAAGGGAACCTTTAAAATGAGCCAAGGTGCTCGAGTGCTTCTCCTATGAGGCTAAGGCACGTAGCTTTTTAATTTTTTGAGAAAAAAGTCTCCGGGGACAAGGCATGTAGAAAACAGATAGAGATTTCTCTCTGAGAATACTGGAACTCGAGGGTCACCCAGGGAAAATGTGTTGGAAGTCGATCCAAGGCAGGCAAAATAAATCACTCCTTCACATAATGTAATTAGCTTTGGGAATTCACTACCAGGAGATTTATTTTTTATTTTATTTTATTATTAAATTTATACCCCGCCCTGAGGGCGGCTAACAAATGAGGCACATATGCCAAGATTGAACAGGTAAAAACAGGACAAAACAAGCAATAAAACCATCATTCATATAAAAAATACAAGTGCTCTAGATGTCACAGATAACTGATGGGGTCACACATGACAAGGTGGTCCCAGAGCGACACGGTAGACTCCAGGTGGTACAGCAATCCCTCCTTCCTCCAAGGGCTGTCTCGTTCCCCGATGACACCCACTCCATTTAGTGGTAGTGGTAGGGTGATGGTATAGTGATGGTGGCAGCTCCTACTCAAAAGCCTGGTGGCAGAACTGTGCCAGGTCCCACAGGGCTCGGATCTCCTCCGGGAGCTCATTCCACCAGGTAACAGCAAATTTAATATCTTTGGGACCTGGGGTTACCAGTCGATGTTGAGTCCCTCACCGTAGTGCCCTTGGGGGAACATATGGGGAAAGGCGGTCCCTCAGGTATGCCGGACCCTGGCCATAAAGAGATGCAGTGATAGCCACTAACTTTGATGGTTTTTAAGAAATGAGACATCTGTCTGTTAGCTAAATGAAATCGTCATCTTCACAGCTGTAGCTTAAAGCTGAATTCTCTACTTTTTCTGAGTACCGGTTGCTGGAAATAAACAGGGACAGAAAACTATAACTCTTAATAATTTTTAAGTTCTTGAATGAAATTCCCAGTAGCTTCTGGACACTTACGGAGTCTAATAAATCTGACTGTCTGTGTACACTTTCTTTTGCTGTCTTACATCTTCCGTCATTTATCTTATATATCATTTATCTTATATATATACATGGAATTCACTGCCACAGGAAGTAGTGACGGCTACAAGCATGGATGGCATCAAAAGGGAATTAGATAAGCATATGGAGCAGAGGTCCATCAGTGGCTATTAGCCACAAGGTATAGCTAGGGGCTCTGGGGCAAGGGATGCTCTGTCTTCTTGGTGCTTGGGGGGGGGTCAACATGTGACAAAAAGAACAACTTGGAAATCTTTCCCACCTGCAAAAGTTCCCCTCCCAAGATTCTGTAACTTCTCTGGACTGAGTGGGCTAATTTCTGTTTCCCTCATTAACTGATTCTCAATGGCTACCAGCATCCCATAGATTCTGAAGCATGGGAGGGGCTGGGGCTCAGTGGCAGAGCATCTGCTTGACATGCAAAAGGTCCCAGGTTCAATCCCCGGCATCTCCTGTTAAAAGGACCAGGCAGGAGGTGATGGGAAAGACCTCAGCCTGAGACCCTGGAGAGCTGTAAAGAGGGGCTGTGGCTCAGTGGCAGAGCCTCTGCTTGGCATGCAGAAGGTTCCGGGTTCAGTCCCCGGCATCTCCAGTTGAAAGGACCAGGCAGGAGGTGATGTGAAGGTCCTCTGCCTCAGACCCTGGAGGGGCTGTGGCTCAGTGGCAGAGCCTCTCCTTGGCAAGGGGAAGGTCCCAAATACAATCCCCAGCATCTCCTGGTAAAAGGACCAGGCAGTAAGTGATGTGAAAGACTTTACTCTGCCTGAGACACTGGGGAGCCGCTGCCAGTCTGAGTAGACAATACTGACCTCGATGGACCAAGAGTCTGATTCAGTAGAAGGCAGCTTCATATGTGTTTATGTGTTTATCGTTTCTTTGAACTATAATTTAGTTTCATCATTTACAGTGGTTGTACAATGATTGCCGAGATCACAGGCAGTGATTGTGATTCTTGTAACAGTACTGTGGTGTTTTGTAGTTCCCTTAGGAGGCTATGAGGATCTGAGGTTTTATTTATTAATTATTTTATTTCTGTTCTTCTTTACAGTCCCTTTGTAAACTGAGACTCAAGGTTGATTATACGATGAATGCAGTTGGTGGGATGAGACATCTAATAAGTAATGTAATCAGATGGGGATTACAGAAATTTGAGACAAAGTAAAAACTGTAAGACGTGTTGCTGAACAATGCAGAGAATGGTGTTATATAGCTAGAAAACACTGTCAAGCATAGGTACGTGTCTAGGGATGGGCAGGAACTGAACCATGAAGCAAAATTCGTCACGAATTTTGCCCTGTTCGTAGTTTGCGAACTGAAGTTTATAACGGGTCTACCGTCACGAACGTTTTAAAGCAGTTTGTGGCGGTTCGTGGCGGATCGTGGATAGAGCAGAAAGCAGGGGTTTAAAGGGACTCGAGTCCCTTTAAACCCCTGCTTTCTTTTCCTGACAAATGCCGCAAAAACAGCCAAGGGGTGGGGAAAAGGGGAAGCTCCAACACGAGATAGTTTGACTTAATCGAGGAAGCCACGGCCCTCAGTTTGCAAGACCTGAGCCTGGCTGTTAAGGATAGGATGTGTTGGAGGGTATGAATTCATAATAAAAATACTAATAAATAAATTAAGGTCCGCAGAACTCAGAAGCTACTTGACAGTAGCTTACACACACACACACACACAAGTAGAAGACAGTGCAAAGGAAGGAGGATCGCACATACAGCAAACAGATAATGCATACTATACGCAGTGATCTAGTCCACAACAGTCTCATTCTTTGTAGAAAGCACCTCCCTGGACCATTCCATTGTGATATGGCCCCATTTCAGGGCTCTTTTTGTAGCAGGAGCTCCTTTGCATATTAGGCAACACGCCCCTAATGTAGCCAATCCTCCAAGAGCTTACAGTAGGCCCCTGTAAGAAGAGTTCTGTAAGCTCTTGGAGGATTGGCTACATTAGGGGTGTCTTGCCTAATATGCAAAGGAGTTCGTGTCAAAGATAAGGCCTGGGGGCCGGAACCGGCCCATCCAGGGCTATTATGCGGCCCGAGAGCCCTGATTTAGAAAGTGGCCTCCCGAAGATTTCTGTTTCTCCTCGTTTGAGGAAAGGCAGAATTGTAGGAGCCAAATAGAAAATACATGTGGACGGGCAGTTGTCGATCTTGCCAGGTTTTAGCGTGGCACCCTCGGAGAGCCCTGATCGGAATGACAAAGCTCTCACAGTGGAGCCTAGGGGGCGAGGCGGGTTTGCAGAGACGAAGGTTCACAAGGCTGTGAATCGTCTGTACGCGACAGCCCGTACCTTGAATCCAACTGGCGGGCAGCGACTGGCGTGACTGCAGAATGGGGTGGTGATATGCACACTGCGCGTCTCTCCCGATAGTAACCGAACTGTGGCATTCTGTACCCAACAGGAGATTCTGAGTTGACATCAAGGGCAGGCCCAGGTAGAGTGCCTTACAATAGTCCAGTCTGGGTATTACTGTGGCACGGATCCAGATGGCCCGATCAGCTGAGTCAAGGTAGGGGGCCATTTTGGGGGCTGAACTAAGTTCGACGAAAGCCTTTTTTGTGGCTGCATTAACCTGCTTCCCCAGCCGTGGCGCTGGGTCCGATGTAACCCCGAGGCTCTCAGCTGAGTCAGCAGGGGTCGGCTGAACGGCGCCGAAAGCGGGAAGCGCAGTGCCCCAACCCTCTGCCTTCCCGACCAGCACCACCTCTGTCTTATCCAGGTTTAGTTGCCGTCGTGGTTCTTAGCCCTTTAACCACAGCAAGTCAGGTGGCGGCTTAGGACCGCTACTGTATCGCCAGGAGATTTGGATAAGGAGATACAGAGCCCGGTGTCGTCAGCATACTGATGACAGAGAGTTCCGGAATTATGAATCGTAGAATCATAGAATGTTAGAGTTGGAAGGGACCTTGCAGGTCATCTAGTCCAACCCCCTGCACTCTGCAGGAGCAGAGCCATAGTATGATTTGAATGATTTGCATTAAGGGCTTTATATAGAACAGGGGTCCCCAGCGTGGTTTCTGTGAGCAACACGATGCCTGCTGACACCTTTTGTGGTGCCTACCAAGTCTTTTTGGTACCAGTTAGGTGTAGTGGTTAAGTGCATGGACTTTAGTCTGGGAGAACCGGGTTTGATTCCCCACTCCTCCACCTGCAGCCAGCTGGGTGACCTTGGGTCAGTCACAAGTTCTCTCAGAGCTGTTCTCTCAAGAACAGTATGGCCAGTTTGGTGTAGTGATTAGGAGCGCAGACTTTAATCTGGGAGAACCGGGTTTGATTCCCCACTCCTCCACCTGCAGCCAGCTGGGTGACCTTGGGTCAGTCACAAGTTCTCTCAGAGCTGTTCTCTCAAGAACAGTATGGCCAGTTTGGTGTAGTGATTAGGAGCGCAGACTTTAATCTGGGAGAACCGGGTTTGATTCCCCACTCCTCCACCTGCAGCCAGCTGGGTGACCTTGGGTCAGTCACAAGTTCTCTCAGAGCTGTTCTCTCAAGAACAGTATGGCCAGTTTGGTGTAGTGATTAGGAGCGCAGACTTTAATCTGGGAGAACCGGGTTTGATTCCCCACTCCTCCACCTGCAGCCAGCTGGGTGACCTTGGGTCAGTCACAAGTTCTCTCAGAGCTGTTCTCTCAAGAACAGTATGGCCAGTTTGGTGTAGTGATTAGGAGCGCAGACTTTAATCTGGGAGAACCGGGTTTGATTCCCCAGGGTGGAGTCAGATGGGGCTTTTTTTCTAGCAGGGCTAATGACAGGCTGTGCAGATTTTTTTTAAAAAAACGTTGCTTTGGCTGCAGCCGCCAGCATAGCGCAAGGATGTTGACAGGGTTACTAAAGGTAAGCTGCGTTCATGCAAGCAGATGTTTTAAAACCGCATGTTCGTTTTAAAAGCATCCTATTAAACAGGGGTTCTTTCTGACAGGTTGAGGAGTTACTGCTAGATCTAGGCCTAACCTCACTCCCTGACGTTTGGTGGCTGGCTCCACCTCCCGGAGCAGCCATTTTTTAGGCTTTATTTATTTATTCAAATTTGTACCCCGCCCTCCCCGCCTAAGCAGGCTCAGAGCGGCTTACGCAGATAAAAGCATACTGACATTCAGATATCGTACATTTCCAAAACAATTCATTAAAAGCATATTAATGTGCTAGCAGAAGTGTTTCGCTGTCATATAGATGGCATTATACATTCTACAAAAAGAGGGACCCGCGATACTCGCGGGGGGGGTATTTCCCCCCGTCTCCCCTCCTGCGGAAGCAGGAGGACCTCAGGGCTGAGGAGGAAGCGGCCACAGGTAAGTCCCCCCCCTGGCTCTGGTGGCGAGGCCTGAGAGGCTTCTAGCTGCCGGACCCATCGATCCCCCCCAGCTCCACCGTCGATCTCTCTAGCCCCGGCTCCAGCGGCGAGGCCCGCCGGGCCCATCGATCCCTTCCCTGCGGCGAGGACTGCGTGGCTTCCAGCCACCGGCCGTCCCCGAGTTCCCATGCACAGGGAATGCTCTTTTACTTTTGGGGGGATTTAAATATCCCCTGTATACTTTTTTCAACTTTTTAGATTTTTCTGCACACCCGAAGACTACTCCCAAGTGTGCAGGAAAATCTCCCTGCCCCCCAGGTGCCCCCGATGTGCGGATTTAGATATCCGCACGGAGGGGGCAACTTGGCTATTAGATATAGTTTAGTTTAGTTTAGTTTATTTCATTTATACCCCGCCCTCCCCGCATGCGGGCTCAGGGCGGCTTACAAAACACACAGGGCGGCTTACAAAATTAATTAATTATTATAGATAGATAGATTATCTAAGTATTCAGCTCGTTCCCATATCTGATGGGCGGGCACAGGCTGTCAGTAGTAGGCCAGGCACCAGGCTCTATAAGTTTCTGTTGCTATTAAAGCGATGGTGGTGATGGTGGTGGCGGTGGCTCCTAGTTGAAAGCCTGGTGGAAGAGCTCCGTCTTGCAGCCCCAGCGCCCTGTCTCTGCATTCCAAAGGTTCCCGCAGGCTCAAAATGTTGGGGACCCCGACACAGAAGAATGTCAATTCAATTTCAAAACCTTTATTGGCATAGATCATAGAAGAATGTATAGTCTGGGGAACTGTACTGCGCCACATGGAACTCCACAGGGCAGTTATAATAATTATTGTAATCCTACAGCAGTGCGTGTAGATTAGCCAGGAGATCCTAAGATTGTCTGGCAGCCAGACGTTCCAGCTCTTTTAGCATTTTGCATCACCAGGTAGTGAGCTCGACCTGTAAGGCAGGATACGTTTAAGAGTCAGGCTTGCCATTTGCCTGACTCTGCGTCACGCCCCTGGTATTCCTTGGGGGTCCCCTTTCCAAATCCCATCCAAGTATTGACCAGGGTCGACCCTGCTTAGCTTCCGAGATCTGACAAACTGGGCTAGCCTGGGTTATCCAGGTCCAGGCAAAAGACATACAGAGGTGGTATGCCATGGCCTGCCTCTGCGTAGCAACCCGGGACTTCGCTTGGCGGTCTCCCATCCAAGTATCGACCAGGGCAGACCCTGCTTAGCTTCCGAGATCTGACGAGATCGGGCCAGCCTGGGCTATCCAGTTCAGGGCTCCGGAGGGCAGTGAGTTTCCAGCAGCGGCTTTCTGCGTCCATTCCGTGAGGAGCAGTTTAAACCACTCCAAAGCACGTCCCCTCATGCATGCTTCTGTTTCCAAATATCTCAGCAAGATGTACCACTGTCTCAAAAGGCTGCAGTGGCAGCTCATCTTGCATCTGCCCGCCCACCCCGCCGCCATGACGCAAGGGCTGACAGCAAAGACAGTTTCCTCTAGCTCATGGGTGGGGGGGCCGTCTCTGGCTTGTAGCCACTCAAGCCAGTTTGGTGTCGAGGTTAAGTGCGCGGACTCCAATCTGGGAGAAGCGGGTTTGATTCCCCACTCCTCCACTTGCACCTGGCTGGATGACCTTGGGCAAGCCGTAGTTCTGGCAAGAGCTGAATTTGGGTAGTGAAGGGTGGGGTATAAATCCAATCTCTTCTTCTTCTTCTTTTACCTCCCAGGGTGTCTATTGTGGGGTGGTGAAGGGAAAGGTGCTTGTAAGCCGCTCTGAGACCCCTTTGGGTAGTGAAGGGCGGGGTATAAATCCAATCTCCTCTTCTTCTTCTTTTACCTCCCAGGGTGTCTGTTGTGGGGAAGGGAAGGGAAAGGAGCTTGTAAGCCGCTCTGAGACCCCTTTGGGTAGTGAAGGGCGGGCTATAAATCCAATCTCCTCCTCTTCTTCTTTTACCTCCCAGGGTGTCTGTTGTGGGGAGGGGAAGGAAAAGGAGTTTGTAAGCCGCTCTGAGACTCCTTTGGGTAGTGAAGGACGGGGTATAAATCCAATCTCCTCCTCCTCCTCCTCCTCCTCCTCTTCTTCTTCTGTTGGAGCTGTTCTCTCAAGGGCAGTCCTGGAAAGAGCTCTCTCAGCCCCGCCTGCCTCCCAGGGTGTCTGTTGTGGGGAGGGGGAGGGAAAGGAGCTTGTAAGCCGCTCTGAGACCCCTTTGGGTAGTGAAGGGTTTGGGTAGTGAAGGGCGGGGTATAAATCCAATCTCCTCCTCCTCTTCCTCTTCTTCTTCTGTTGGAGCTGTTCTCTCAAGGGCAGTCCTCTCAAGAGCTCTCTCAGCCCCGCCCGCCTCCCAGGGTGTCTGTTGTGGGGAGGGGAAGGGAAAGGAGTTTGTAAGCCGCCCTGAGACTCCGAGTGAAGAGCGGGGTCTAAATCCAGTCTCCTCCTCCTCTTCTCCTACTACTTTTTTCTAACACCCGCCAGCTTTTAAAAGACAGCCAGTTCTGGGAAGAACAAAGGCAAGGTTGGGATGTATTTTTAGCATACCTCTTGACGGGTGTGGTGAAGTCAGGTCTTGTCCCACTGTTAATCAGTTTTCTTGTTGAGGAATAAATGCGTGTTCCTTCAAAGCTGGTGTGTGCGTGTGTGTATGGAATGTCTTACCTGCACAAATAATGAGTTTGGAGTACCCGCACGAAGACTTCATGTGCAAATGAGTCCTCTTAAGGCACAAGGCACTAAGCCAAGAGCATTTCTTAACTGACGGCCGCCCAGTCCTTTCCTTCAGAATCTCCAAGAAAAAGGAATTCCGCAGGGTTCTTCTTATGGTCGGCCCTGGTTAGTCCTTGGATGGGAAGCCGCGTTTTCTTTCAGGCTCAATCTAAATCAGTGTTCCTTGAAGGAAATCACGCCTTTACAAATTGGAGTGATTTCCTGCCTTCCCGCTCTCCTGCTTGAGAAAGTAGCCAGTGGAAAAGGCTTCTTTGGATGTGGCGGTGGGAAGCCTCTGTGGGTTTCACTGGAGCAGCATTTCTTTTTGTTTTTTGGGTTTTTTTTGTGTGTGTGTGTGTGTGTTTCATATGGGCAGGGCTAGTTTTGGGCAGGAACGCACAGGAACGGAGTTCCGGCTGGCTCCCGAGTTGGCCACGCCCAGCAGGGACTCATTAGCATAATAGGCCACACCCAACAGCAGGAACTCATTGGGATTGGCTACATTAGG